GTTGGTCTCCAAGTTTTCTGTGTTGAAAAGTATGAACTGCCAATGTGCACCTCTTCCTGACTTACAGAGCAGTTCAAAAGCAGATTCTTGGGCTCATTGGATAAAGAGAGGGCCATCCTGCATGACCCCACTGTGGGTCACTTAAAGACTGGCTAACCCATGATTCACATAATACTCAAACTGAGGGCTTCTGGGGCCTGGACTTGGAGAGTGCTATGAGTGAGGCCAGGAGGAAGTCTGTGAGTGGGTCAGGTCCACCGTGCCCTGCTCTGTCAGCTCAGGCTCCATAGGACAAAGGGAGGAAGTATGGGCCTCCTACTACTACTCACACCTATGAGCTGAGGGGCCAATCACCTACAGCCAGCCTTCTCCCAAGTCCCTATGGCACGGTGTCCTCTCCCCAGACCACATTAAGGCAGCCCAAACACAGTGGCTGAGGTGGCTCAGGACTCACGCAGGCCAGGAGCCTGCCCAACCTTCTCCAAACACACCTGCACAGTCACCTCACTGCCTGAGCAGGGCCCTCTCTCTGCTCTAGCCACTGAGGCTTGAATCTCTCCTCAACTTCTCCGTCAGGGACTGAACTGCTCTTTCCTTTAGGTGTCCACCAGCCTTCTCCTGGCTTTCCTTTCTGGCACTGATACAGGGTCTTGTGTTAAGAGACGCTGAGAGTTCCTCTGTTACAGGGACCAGGTGCCTGGCAGTACGTCATGAGCACACGTAATAGTCACTGAATGGAGGCATATTTTTTGTGACTTTGATGTCAGTGTTTCCCAGTCCCCTGCTGTGATCTTAAACCACTGTTTTAGAAACAGGCAAGTGCTTTTCTGCCTGCCCCTCTCCTCCAGGTCTCCTCCCACTTTTTAAGCCCCAGAGCACATCCTTCTAAGGCCTAGTCACACCCAACAAGCTCACTGACTCCAATACATCTTGAGGCACATGTGACCCCCTCCCCAGGGAGGTACAAGGGCCCACCCTTAGTCCTTAGTCAGCCTGTCCTGAGAGGTGGCCCACCCTGGAAACTCAGTGTATCTCAGGGAAACTGTGTCCCTCCCTGAAGTAGCACTTACTAGTACACTGAATCATGGAGGACAAGTGTGCTGGGGTCCTCTGCCTGGGAGTCCCCCAGGATCAGGGTTATGTTAACCCACTACTACAAGTTCAGGTCAAGTCTGAAGGAAGGTCCTAACACTGCTGACAGGGAGAGAACAAGCCTGGTAAATGAGCTCAGCTACATCAAACTGGGATGTTCCAGTTGGGAACATGACAATGAAAAAGCAAGGATATTAAGTGGGCCACAGCTTCATACTGAGGTTTGTATTTTACACCTCATCAACTATGATGAAAATGATAAGCCAAAGGGCAAAATATACCACACCCTGACTCTGGCTCAGAAACAATGTTGAATAACACAATGCAGCACAGTACGAAGAACAGGGATTGATCTCCACCCTGGGCTCAAGGCAAAGAAACTTCACTTCTCCAAATCAGCTTTAGGAGAACTACCCTTGATCTTCAAAAGAAGACGCAAGGAATAAACAGACAGTCATTGTACCAAAAGGAAATGGTTGATGTTCAACCATTTCAAGAAGCAGCCTATGATCAAGAGCCAATGACCTGAAGGAAGAAGTCCAAGGTGCATTGAAGGAATTGACAAAGAACAAGGTACCAGGAACTGATTGAATAAAAACTAAAATCTTTCAAGAAAGTGAGGCAGTACAGGAGGCACTTACTCATCATCTCTGCCAAGAAATTTGGAAGACAACTATCTGGTTGACTGATTGGAAGAGATCCATATTTGTGCCCATTCCAAAGAGAGGTGACCCAACAGAATGCGGAAATCATTGGACAATATCTTTGATATCCTATGCGAGTAAAGTTTTACTAAATGTTAATACAGGAATGGCTGCAAGCATACATTGACAGAGAACTTCCAGAGGTTCAACCCAGATTCAGAAGAGGCCGTGGAATGAGGTATATCAATGCTGATGTCCGATGGATCTTGGCCAAAAGCAGAGAATATCAGAAAGATGTTTACCTATGCTTTATTGACTACACAAAGGCTTTCGATTGTGTGGATCATGACAAGCTATGGACAACATTGTGAAGTATGAATATTCTGGAACACTTCATTGTGCTCAGAATCTGTACATGGACCAAGAGGCAGTTCTTCGAACAGAACATGGGAACATTGAATGGTTTAAAATTAAGAAAGGTGTGCAGGTTGTATTCTTTCATCATACTTATTCAACCTGTATGCTGAACAAATAATACGAGAAGCTGGTTTATAGGAAGAAAAACGTGGCATCAGGATTGAAGGAAGACTAATTAACAACCTGCGATATGCAGATGATATAACCTTGCTTGCTGAAAATGAAGAAGACTTAAAATACTTACTGATGAAGATCAAAGACCACAGTCTTTGGTATGGATTGAATCTTAATGTAAAGAAGACAAAAATCCTCACCAATGGAGCAATAAGCAACATTCTTATCAAGGGAGAAAAGATTGAAGTTGTCAAAGACTTAATTCTTCTTGAATCAACTATCATGAGTGAGGCCTGGCCATGGTCAGAGGTCTCTGCTGCTTGTGGAAAAATAAACAAACATAGCCTAACACCTTGGTGTTCCACAATTGCATAAATTGTTCTCCCTATAGGATCTCTAAATCTTCCTCCATCCTCATGAATAAGAAGCCTGAAACCAGGGTTCCAGAGTGTCTTTTCTTGGAAGATAGACCCATGAATGTCCACAGGATACACCCCAAAGCTCAGATATGAGTCAGAATTCTCTGGGATCTTCTGGGAGAGGGAACATGAAGTTGGGCACATACACCTTCGCCTAAGCAAGCAAGAATGACATGACTCTCCTTAGCCAAATGGCAGACTGCTCAGATCAACCATCCACAAACAACCTAGCTCTGTCTAGAGTTCTGCTTATCCCAAACCATAGGCTCCAGATGGCTTGGACCACTGTGTGCCACCGCAAAGAAGCAGTTGTCAGTATGCACTTCACTTCCTGAGGCAGGAACGTGCAACTCATGGGCATCCTCACTTGAGTTCATCTGAATCAGCAGCTCTTGTTTTGCTCTTTCTCATTTGTTTACTAGCACCTAAAAATATCTCCCTTGGAACATCCTGGGGAGAGAGGCGAGAAGGAGGTAGTGAGCAAAATGCCAGGCAGTGGAGGCAGCCGAGGGCTCAGGCAGGGAAGAGAAACAAACCACTACAATAGCTCTATAAATCTTTCCTAGGAAGTTAACATCTCCTGCTTTGATCCAGCCTGTACAAACCCAGCATCTCCCCAACTCCTCACATATTCTTCTATTAACTAAGAGTTTCTACTTGTTGAGCTAGATGACTTTCAGTTATTCATATTTAATCCCCATATCAACCGAGAGAGGAATAACTCTTATTTCAGCATTTTTTACAGAGGAAGATGCTGAGGTTCAGACAGGTGCAGAGAATGGCCCAAGGCCACACAGTGTGGCAGAGATAGTGCTGGACTTCCCAAGCTGAACACTCCAGCTTCAAGGATGGAGCCTGCTCCAACCCACTGGGTTGCCTGAGAAGTCATATAAGCACACTGGACCTTTTCATACAGGTGATGCTTAGAAAACAACACTAGGCCGCAGGAAAAGATATACTGACACCTCCAAGAGTTGTGTAAGGAACAAGTCTAGACTTAGTGTCTCATAGCTTCACTGAGAAGTTGAATCACTGACAGAACATCTCATAGGAGACAGCAATCCCCCTTGGCCCCCTCCTAAACTAGATGAAATAGACCATCCAAGGTGGCAGACTCCTCACCCTCATTCTCAAACAGGTGGCATTTGGATGGGGAGCTCTCCAGACCTCTGTCAGAGAGGTAAGAAGACAAACATATACATACAATAAAGTTACAAGTATTATCCCCAAACAAGACTTCTAGAGGAAGGAGCCATAGACTTGAGCCAGTATCACTGGGACCTAATCTTGTCTAGTACTTACCAGCTGTATCACTTTGGAGATACCTCATGTTTTGGCCTAAACTGTACAAACCCAGCAACCTGAACAAACCCTTTTTGAGGCCTAATTCCTCATGTAGGGAGAATCTTTCCTCTAGCAATCCTATTTACTGGGTGACCATGGGGATTTAGGTGAGCTGACTGACCAGGAGACAGGATTGGGGGCAGTCCCAGGGATAGAGTAGGCACATAAGAACTGTTTATGGAAACTGACTGTGGAGAATGCTCCTCTCTGAGAGGTGGGCAGTGAGGTCCACACAGAAATGCCACCCTTCAGAGGCTCCGATCTCTCTCTGGCCTCAGATCAATGAGTGTGTCCTCCTGACAGCAGAAGCCTGTTCATTCCCCTACAACCTCTCCCCACACCAGTCTGAAGCAGAGACCAAGGGACATTTTTGTATGTCAGTAGCTTAGCATTTAAAGTTACCTTTGTAATGATAAAGTGCTATGTATCCATCCCTAGAAGCCTTCTAATTGAGAAGACTCAAAAGAACAGAGAAACCTCAAAATCAATAAAAGAAAAATCACCACAGTTAAAGTGGGGAAATGGCCTTTTTGCTTGAATTCCACCACACAGTATCACAACTTCCTTTGTGTGTGTGTGTGGTTTTAAGTTTTGTTTTCAAGAAAAGCCTTCATTCAAGGACAACCCCTTCATTTCCTTATAAAATATAAGTGAATAAAGTCAACCTCTTTAAATGTGTACATTATCAGACAGTCACAAGTTCCTAAACTTTTCTCTCACTGAGACTTCGTAATAAAGCTGTGCGGTACGAGCTGGGAGTTGCCTCATTTTAACAGACATGGAAATAAAGGACAGAGACAAAGATCTGCCCAAGTTCCTATACCATGTGTGGCAGAGTTTTAGCCCCAAACTGAATGCCTTTTTCAATCTAATGAGTTCTCTGGAGCTGGAGGAGACTCAGCTACTCTGTGGGGCAAGTGCACATGTGAGACAGGTAGGGAGGAGATGAGGTATGCCCAGGCAGCCGTACCTGCAGTGGTGGGCCCGGTCAGGTTTGATGCTGCAGCACTTGGGACACTTGTACACCACCTGCCCGGGCTTTAGCTGTAAACTCTCGATGAATTCTTTAGTGGCATTTCCTTTGGGCACTGCCCCCTGCAAGAAAAGGGAAAGGTGTCAGGGTTAGACTGGGGGTTCCACCAGTTTCCACAGTGTCAGTGGAGACAGTCATTGGAGGGAAGCAATCACACACACAAGGATAAGACATACTGATTTCAACATGTGGAGTCTTCAGAATTAGGGCAACACTGATGGATATTAATCTTTTGATCTCTGGTTAGGTTTAATCCTAGGTACTTTCTTGAGGGTAAGGGGAATGAGGCTATTATTAATGCTATTGTTCCTTCCTTTTCAGAATCCTCTTTGTTGGGGTTGACAGGGGTGGGGAACATCTGGCCCATGGGCCATCTTCTTGTTTTTTTTTGCTAATAAGCACCTGCGAGTTGGGTCTGACTCATAGTGACCCTACATAGGGTTTCTGAGGGGCAGCTGGTGAGCTTGAGCTGCTGACCCTGCAGTTCAAACAGACCTTGCAGTCTAGCACATTAACCCACATCATTTGGTCTGACTGTGCCAAGGCAACTGGAACTGCAGTTCCAGCCATCACTTTATGGTGAGTTAATGAAATGTTTGACCAAATATGTTGTTGTTAAGTGCCATCGAGTCACTTCCGACCCATAGCAACCCTGTATAGACAGGGTTTCCGAGAGGCAGCTGGTGAGTTTGAACCATCGACTTTGCAGTCCAGCGTTTTATCCCACAGTGCCACACCAGGACTCCCATTTTGCCCTTAGAATCCTTCAATATTGGAAGACTGCTTGCAAAACTGGAAATCCATTTGCTGAAGCAAGATACAAAATCCATATCTCATACCATAAACAATAACAAACTGACCATGGGCTAAAGACCTAAATGTAAAACCTAGAGATATAAAGACCATCAATGATAAAATAAGGAAAAACTTAGGGCCTCTAATACATGGCATAAATACACTGTCAAACATTACTAAAAATACACAAATAGTAAAAGACAAAAGAGATGACTAAGACCTCCTAAAAATTAGGTACTTATGTGCTTCAAAAGAATTTTCCAAAAGAGGAAAAAGGGAGCTCACAGACTTGAGAAAAAAAAATTTGCAACAACATATCACACAAGGGACTAGTCTCTAAAATTTATAAAACTATAACACCTCTACAGAGCTCTGGTAGCATAGTGGTTATGAGCTGGGCTGCTAACCTCAAGGTCAGCAGTTTGAAACTACCAGCTGTTCCATGGAAGAAAGAAGAGGCTTTCTGCTCCTGTAAAGATTGGAAACCCTTTGCAGGCTCACTATGACTTGGAACCGACTCCATGGCACACAACCACCACCATCAGTATCACAACATCTCTATGAGAAAAATAAAAACAACCCAATTAAAAAATGGGCACAGGACATAAACAGACACTTCATCAAGGAAAACATTCAGGCAACCAACAAACGTGAAGAAATGTTCACTATCATTAGCCATTGTTGTTGTTGTTGCTGTTGTTAAGTGTTGTCGAGTCAGTTCTGACTCATAGTGACCCTGTATAGTGTTTTCAAGGAACGGCTGGTGAGTTTGAATGACCAACCTTGCAGTTCAAACTGGCCTTGCAGTCCAGTGCATTATCCCAGAGTGCCACACCAGGACTCCATTAGTCACTGTTGTTGTTAAGTGCCCTCAAGTCTGTTCCAACCCATAGTGATCCTGTATGGGTTTTTTGTTTGTTTGATCAACAATGAATTATTGCATCTGTTGGTGGCTGTTAATATAATTTAGCAGAATTTATAGGGATTTTTCCTCCTTAGTTAAGATGTAGGCAAGTATCAGTCTCTGCCTCATCTTGAGTACAGACTTCAAGAAGAAAGCTATCTTCTTAATTTGCATTTGCCAGTTTAGATAGCCAAAGATGTTAGAATATACCCTTCATTTAAAAAATTTTTTTGTCTGTGAATTATGTGATAGTTTACATGGGAGAACATTAACGTTACATTCATTCTATTGTATATCGTTTCATTGCCATGATTACAATCCCCTCCATGCATCATCAAACAACATAAGGGTATACCCTGCAAGCCTGCCCCCCAGTCGTCAGCACACAGCCCCTCTCCCTCTCTGGGTCTAGAGTCCCCAGCTGCTCCATCTCTCCACCTCATCGTCTCTGCCTCCATCACTGGAGTCACTGCTTCTCTGGATAGGGTCCCACACTCCGCTCTTCTCCCTTGATGGTCCCAGGGACCTCCGCTTCTGGACTGCAAAGTCAATCACTCACCTCCTTTTGCTACATGTCTACCTTTACATTTCCAACCCTCAAAGTCAGTCCTGATAACAATTATTCACCATTGTACCATAAGAGACCTATCCCCATCTCCTTTCATCAGCCCCGCCCAGACAGATTGGATACTGATCAGTGGAGATTCTACCTTCCTCTGTGCCCTCTGGATCTAGGCTCCCTCTTGAAAGCTTGTAAGCCAGTCACTTCTTGCCTTTGTAGCCCTCCACATTTTGCGTAGCAGGCTAATTTTTAAGTTGATAATTTTGTATGGCTTGTGAATGCTATTATAAGTTTTGGCAGAAAAAAGGTTCCCCACCTCTGGTATAGAGAATCCTACTGAATTTTGTGTGTTGAATCTTGTACCTTGTCAGCTTGATAAAATTTTTCTGTTGGTTCTCGTAACTATCTTGTGGAGTCTCTGCAATTATTTATGCATAGGATCATATTAATGTGGATAAGAATTATTTTACTTCTTTCTAATTAGGATTCTAACACAATCTAAGAGTAGTGACAAAGGGCATTATTCTCAAGGGAAATGTGCTAATCTTTCTACACTGAGAATAATGTTGACTGCTGATTTTGTATGTATGTCCTTAATAAATTTAACTATTTCTACATGTACAATTCAGTTACATTGATCACATTTTAAAAGATGTACAACCATTCTTGCCCTCTTTTTGAGTTACTCCTCCTTCATTAATATAAACTCATTACCCTCTAAATTTTTTAGCTAATTTTTTGTGTTGCTATTGTCCATTTGACCCCATGGGTCGCTATGATTTGGAACTAACTCCACCGCACATAACAACAACAGCTAGATCTTAAAGAACAAAATCCTCAAGGCATCCAGGTGGGAATTCCAGGAAGAATGTGGGCTTAGAAGGTGAGGAGAATCCTGGTGGATGGTGGGTAGGAGAGAGGTGCCTGGGAAGGGGAGCACTAGCCCTTAGGGAGGATTTCAGGCAGTCAACACATTCAGGGAAATGATGGCATGTGCATGTGCATTCAGAGGGCATGTGCAAAGGTCTCGGAAATTTAGCACTTCAGTTCAATTATGGAGATATTATCAATTTGTCACAAAAGAGACCCTGGAGTGACTCTGGGGGTCTCCAGGCCAGCATGTACTTAGACCTCCATCTGTTAGTGGCCTCTCCTCTCCGCTCTGTCACACATGCTCTTTTCTGATCACACTGAGTCAGAACAAAGGCCGTGCTGGTCTAAGCTCTTCCAACTTCTCCCGTTACCATGAGCTCTTACCCCTCCTTTTCCTGGTGTGGCGCTGTAGGATAAGCACTGGACCTCAAGGTTGGTTTGAACCACAAGGTGGGTGGTTCAAACTTATCAGCTGTTCCTCAGAAACCCTACATAGGGTTTCTATGAGGTGGAACCAACTTGATGGCACTTAACTCCTACCCAGGTGAGGACCCCATTCCTGAGAGGGGCAGTACTTGGCTGATTTGTCATTTGGAGTAATGACATGCCTCCTCACTGGTCTATGTTAAGGTCAAGGGACTGCAGGCTCATGCTGGACAGGAGACGGGGGAGTATGAGGATGCTCCTCAACAGGAAATCTCATTTCAATGGTGAGCTCAGGGCTGCAAGTGAGGTGGACAGGGGGTTCTAAAAGGAAACTTCTGGAGATGTGGATCCTGGGCACCAAGATGCTGGAAATCACTAGATTCATGACAAGGACCACCTCTGTGGGCAGGCTGGGGTGGAATGTACATGGTGGTGGGGGGAACAGGAAGCTAAAACTATTCACTATTTTATTTCTGAACCTGGATGGTAAATACATGGATCTTCATCTATTATTCTTTATGTCCTTTCAGCTGTCAGAAATGCTTCATTAACAATTTTTAAAAGATAAAATTTGGTCTGCAAAATGCCCTGATATAGTAGAAAACCTTAAGACAAAAATTTAAAAGCAAAGAAACTTTGGTGGGCAAGGACAACAATGGGGTATGTATAACATCATTCAGAATATAGCTCTTGGCATTAAATATGACATAAAAGTGCATAAGCTAGTGACATAGGAAATGTCTATGACAGACTATCAAAGGAGAAGTAGGTTTCCAAACAGTATGCAGAATATGACCCCATTTTGGAAGAGAGATGCAGACATGAATAGCAAAAAAGACAAAGATACATACAAAAGTATTAATGGTCTCGCATGTGGTAGGATCACAGGTGAACTTTATTTTATTAACTGTATTTCTTAAGGTTCTGTTTTGACTACATGGCTTTTATAATAAGGAAAAAATTCATTAAAAACAAAAAATAAACTTCAGAAAGGTACTATACCAAGGTAACAATATTATCAACTTCTCTGAAGTGTGTGACCAGAATATTATTAGAATCTCACTGAGACAGCCCAGGGCCTGGGTCTCAAGTTCTCACAAAGGCAAGTAGAGCCCAGACCACCAAGTATGAGGGAATTTCTAAAGGGGCATGGGAAGGGCACTGGCCTGGGCATATGAGAGGGTTGCACAGAAATTTTTTTAATGCAAAAAGTAACTGAGTAGGGACAACTGTGTGACCTTTTTTGAATTCTGAAGCCACAAAATGACACTGGAAGCCACTACTGTCACATGTGCAGGGCAAAAAGAATAAAGGGACACCATTTTCCTTCGGAGATGAGTGAGGAGGCGGATTTCTTCTAAATAAAAGCCCAGGTATTTGGCTTTATGTTTTTCAGATCTATATATAAAAAAAAAATCCCAGGTATCAGAATTTGCAGGCTGCAAGAGGAAATCACCTTCCTACCCCCACCTTGTGGTAAAGGGCAGTTAGAATTCTCATTT